CCGGAGCGTTGCCGCCTCTGGGGTCATCAAGGTGTTGAAGTTGCTGTGTGCCGAACACACACCGTGGTCAGAAGGATCAATCTCTGCCGTACAAGCCTTTACGCAAGGCACGCAACGCACGAGTCCATCATGGGCATGGCCAGCCCGCCAAGCAAGACACGCACGAGAGCTGCCAACGCTCACCGAAGATGCACGAAATAGAAAGACATGTCTGCAAGCTAAGCACAAACCCTGCTATCAAAACCCAACACCCCTTCTCACCTCACGGCGAAGCTGAGAGGTGGACAATCATGCATCAGAGGCATCACTCAACAGCATAGAAGTGAAGCGCTTGTGTTTTGCACTGTCAAGACTCTTAGTCAGTAGGTCAGCTGGATTCATACTGCCTGGCACGTACACAAGGTCATACAGGCCTGCCTCGTACTCAAAATGAGACGTCCAAAAGTCGCGATCAATGTGCTTTGTGCGCTGTGTGGCCTTCAAGTCGCCACGCAGCTCCTTCAATGCAATGTCATTGTCACTATAAACGGTACACATGGCAGGTACACAGCCAGCATTGACAGGCAGAAAGTCACGCATTACATTCTGTATGTATCGGACACTTGCGCCACATGCAGCTACAGCAGTGAACTCAGCTTCAAAAGCACTTCTCGCAGGTGTCGACTGTGCACGTGAGCCCCACATGACAGGACAGTCAGCCAAAAACAGCACTCTACCTGACGTCGCCCTGTGCTGCATTTCTGTTTCTGACCACGAGGCATCAGTGTACGCATGGACCGGAAAAACCATCACATCACGATCGCCAACAGAGATAGATGAGAGAGAAGTCGGCCGGTACATAAGGCATTTCTGCCGCGCATGGAACAAGTAAGTGAGTGCATGAAATGCAGCATGGATGTGACGTGCGTGTGGATGATGCAATGCACGAGACAGTCGACTGACAGTGAAAGACAGATCGGGACGCACAGTCACAGCGCAAAAATTAAGACATCCAACCATTGCACGGAAAAGTGTTGCCTGGTCTGACGCTGGCTGGTCCATGTCAATGGACAGGTCGACACGCAAAGGCAGAGGAGTAGAGACAGGCTTGGTAGAGGCGAGGCCAAAACGGGCAGCCACTTTGTCCATGTGAGACGACAGAGTGATGCGCAAAATGCCATCAGAGTAAGTGATGTCGAGGCCCAAAAAGCAGCCATATCGACGCTCTATTCTGAACACAGATCCGAAGTCACGCTCAAATGCATTCATTGCCTCCTCTGTGCCGGCCACACGCATGTCATCCACAAAACGAGCAACGACGGTACCATTCGATGGATGTACGTACAGACAGGGCTCTACGAGTGAGGGTATGCAACCTAATTCACGGAGCTTAGCATCACAATGCACATGCCACGCACGCGGAGCATTCGACAGACCATACAGGGCTCTCTGCAGCTTCCAACACTTGCCTGCCTTGCCAAAACCAGGGGGCATTCGTACATACACAGGTGTATGTAAAGGAGAGTTCAGAAACGCTGTCTCGACATCATACTGACGTGTGTCATAGCCACGCTGCACGGCATGCACAAAGAACATACGCATGACATCGAAAGAGAGAGTGGGCGAGAAAGTCAGTACGTCCGCATCATCTTGCTCGTAGCCACGCACAACTAGTCTTGCCTTGAACTTGTCTGGCTTGAGAGAAAACACCCAGCGTGTAGACAAGGGAGAGAAGTACGATTCACATTCATCAACTTCCACACACACATCATGACGTTCAAGGGAGGCAAGTTCACGCTCCATTGCACGTTTCCACCATGGCCAAAAGGGCGATTTCATTGCATCTTTCAGTGTTTTAGGCACATCACCGTACGCATGAGCAGCAGAGACAGCAGTGAGTTCATCTTCATTGTCATGGCGCTCGCTGGACATATGTACCTCATCAACCTACACACATACAGGTATGCAACACACATAGACACAACACAACAGAGAGGTGACACACGTGGGTGAGCATCGGTACGTACGTATACACCACACACGAAATGAATTCACACACACATTCACACACATACACATACATACATACATACATGTAGCCTAGCTGTCTGACTACCCGCGAGCTCATTCCCCTTCTGACTGACCAGGCCATTCATGTACTTCTGCATGAGGGTCTGGTACTCCTCAGTGGCCCACACACGCTTGACGGTCTCGGTCCCAGGCAGCGATGGTATCCGCCAGCGAATGAAGTCCTCCAATGTCATGCGCGTGACCATCTCGGGGTCGAGAGTGGCCGTCTGGAGTGAGCCGACGTGGTAGTCCTTGTAGCGGTCCTCAGGGAAGTGAACGTGTCGGCCTGCTCGTGTCGTCGTGCCCTGTGGCTGAGCTGCCTGCTCAGCTGGGGGCTGAGCTGCAGGTGCCGGTGGGTCAGCTGCCATTGCTGGTGCCGCTGCAAGGGGCTCGTTTGCATGCTGCTGCTGTGCAGGTGCCGGCGCCTGGATCGCTGGTGCGGGTGCAGGTGCGTCATGATGCTGCTGCTGCTGCTGTTGTTGTGGTGGTGGTGGTGCCGCCTCGTCGTCCAGGTGGCCCGCACCGTCATGCTGCTGGTCAGCGACGTCGCCATTGCCTTGGTCCTGCTGTCCATCATGCTGTGGTGGATCGGCCGCCCCATGGTCGTGTTGGTCTGCACCTCCGTGCCCGTGTTGCTGAGGCTGATCCCCTTCTGAGCCATCGTTCTCGGACACATCCGCGTCGGGCAGAGGCGGCTGGTGCTGGTGGCTGAGGTGCTGGTGCTGGCGGCTGTGGTGGAGGCACACCTTGCTGGGTGAGTGGCGGTGCAGCAGGGTGCGGGTGAGCGAAGTAGCCGTGTGGTGGGTAGGTAGGTGGTCTTGGTTGTGGCGGTGTCGGCATGGCAGGAGGGGCAGGGAAGGGCGCCGCGGGTGTGGTCGTCTTGCCCGCCGTCTTGAGAGGGAAGGCCGACTCGTGAACCGACACATCACGTGACTCAACTACCACCGAACGATCAGGGATGAACACACAGTGCACGTCCTTTGTGTTCTCCTTCCTGCCCAGGTACACCCCCTTCTCAGCCTTGAAATCAAATGGATGACGGCGAGGACCCTCAGGTGCCTTGCGCTGGTGGACGTAGGCGAGCGCATCAAACGCATGGATGTCCTTGTAGTCGGGCTTGACACCACGCAGGGCCTCGATGGGGGTCATCAGACGCTCACGAGACAAGGCAGCATGCGGCATACGGTTCTTCAGGTAGGTCGCCCACTTGACGGCGTACGGCCACAGCGAGTCGCGAAACGCCCACAGTCCGCTCTGGTGCAGCAGCTTTCTCGACATGTCCACGATGATGCCTATGGAGCGCTCGACGATGCCATTCTGGTGCTGATGGTGGGCGGCGCTGAACTCCTGCTTGATGTTGAGGTCGGTGCACGTTGAGGAGAACAGACGAGAGTGGAACTCGCCTTCGTTGTCGGTGCGAAGACGATGGACGTCGTGGCCGTACTCGGTGCGGAAGAGCTTGAGTGCGCGTAAGACGGTATTGGCGGTGTGGTCGGACAGCACGTAGACGAATGCGGCACGAGTGAAGACGCAGACGAAGAGCATGAAGCAGGTGAATCTCGAGACCAAGCTGCCGATGATGCTGGTCTTGACGGGCTTGACGTCTGCCGTGACGAGGTCGCCGATGAAGTCAGCCTTGATGGGCTCTCCCTCCTTGGGCACTTCGCGCATCGCGCCGAGTTTGCAGCTGTCGCAT